CTATGCTAAGCCTTTATTTTGTTTTAGGCTGCATGCTGATTCAATGGCTGTCTTACTCAAAGAATGGGGAAGCAAAATTAAAACTGACTGAACCTGGTTTACCTGCCCCAAAAATGGGATAATGGAAGTGGGAAAGGTGAAAGTTGTGCAATATGAAAACAATTATTAAGAGACTAAAATATAATATATAAACATGTGTGTGTGCGTGTGCATGTGTAAAAATGGGTGGTAAAATTGTTAATTTTCTTTCTTCTCTTAATCCCTGGGAATCACGTCAGGTATTCCCCACAGAATTGTATATAGCAGTATTTCTCAACCTCACCAAGATGAGTGGACTTAATTTCCAGAATTCCCCAAGGAGCTTCAATTAATCAATCAATCAGAATAGAGCTGGAAGGGACATTGGAGATCATCTAATCCAACCCCCTGCTCAAGCAGGAGACCCTATACCATTTCAGACAAGTGTCTCTCTCCATCTCTTCTTAAAAACTTCCAGTGATGAAGCACCTACAACTTCTGAAGGCAAGCTGTTCCACTGGTTAATTGGCCTCCCTGTTCGGAAGTTTCTCCTTAAGTCCAGGCTGCCTCTCTCCTTGATTAGTTTCCACCCCTTATTTCCTGATCTGCTCTCTGATGCTTTGGAAAATAAGCAGGCCACTTCCTCTTTGTAGCAGCCACTCAAATACTGGAATACTGCTATCATGTAATGTAATATCATACTGTATATATAGCATATGATGATGCCACTATCTGCTAATGCTATGCTGAGTGGAGACTGGCTTTTTCTTTTCACAGTGCTATGGAGGAAACTATCCCATGTAACTCAGCAATGACTTGCTACATACAACAGAAAGCCCTAAGGAACAGATTGTGGGATCTCACTCCATTACATACTGCATAGAGGTAACTAAAAAGTCTTGCTTGGCAGTTCTGTATAAAATTTTTCATTTCCTGTTTCAATTTGGAGTATCTCACACACCAGATGCCCTGGTGTGGGTCAGTGTTGAGAAGCTCTGAATACCAATTGTACAAATTTACGTAGGATGTATTTTCAATTCACGCACAATTAGAAAAGAAAAATAAGAGCAACCAGTAGATCAGTCAATTGTATCAGATGCACTATTTCAGCTAATCTGTCAAGTCCATTATGAAACCACTGTTTGGGAAAATGCAGCAATGGCACATTTACAGGCTCCAAGTCCCACAAAGAGTGAACAGCAAACTAGCCAAGATCTGCTGTTGTCTGTATGAACATTAAAAGGCCTTAATGTTATAGTTGAACATCATAATCAACCAACTCAAACTGAGGTGCAGAATACGTAGGCCAGAACATACACACACATAACAATGACTAGGCATGACAAGGAGCAAATGAGGGATGAAATTCAACTACCTTGCACCACCTCAGGAGAGGTGGTAGGGACAATTTGAATTGGTTCAGAAAGGTGGTAGGGACAATTTGAATCGGTTGGCCACGCCCATGCCCACCCTCTTCCTTTTAGAGACTGAGTCCCACCAAGCCACGCCCACAGAGCCAATAGAGAAAAATTTTGAATTTCACCCCTGCAGCAAATGTTTTGGTTCAGAAAATATTACATTATTTGAGAATCAAAATTTTAATTTCAGGAAGAAATTAAATGGAATTAAAACAATCCATTTTGGTCCCATGGAATCATGGATTAAGTGACTCATAATTATATGAAGCTTCATAGTTCAATGGATTTGTTCTTTCTCTTGTTTTATTTTAGACTATTAAACTCCAGGGTCTGAAATTAATTAGGCTGTGTTTTATGACATAGAAAAATACTTTCGTGACATAAGAATGGGCATTTAATTTTCCTATTTTGAAAAGAAAACATTGACCAATAAATATTAGTCAACGTTTAAAACCTAAAATGCAGCAACTCATCCCCACATTATTTCCTTCAGTGGAAAGATAGATTTTCTAGTTAAAGAAATGTTCCTTTAAAACAAAAGAAAACAAAAAGACTTTCCACATTATAAGAAGGGGGGGAAAAATCGCACAAACATAATTTCTAAGGCCTTTTCTGAGGTTTGCCTGGAGACTGTATGAAAATCAGAATCCATGAAAGTATTTCCTTCATTCCCTAAATAAATGCACACCAGGCCGTCTTTAATTCATTGGTTGCTTTCCCAAACAAGTTGTGTGTGATGAAGAACCTCAGTGGAAGAATTCATAGCATTCAGAAAGAAGGAACTCCAAAGTAATTAAGAGGCTGGGAAAAAAAATTGATTCTTTTGTTTTTAATGGAGGAATGAGTTATGCTATCATGATCTACATCTGAAAGTAGGAAATGATCAAGTAGAGTGTGGCATGAGATGACAAAAGCAATACCCTGTAGAAAAGAATTCAACAATTACCTTTCAGTTCAAATAAGAGGGCAACAGTGTGTGTGTGTGTGTGTGTGAGTGCACATCTGTGAGTACCTCAAAGCCACCCCTTTTCCTTCACTGTTCCAAGCAATACTGAAAATGGGCATTCCTACTCCAGAAGCTTCTAAGATACACAATTCAAAGTTGGACACACAACTGTATTGCAAATGTCCACAGCAGTGTTTACTAGTTTGCTATCATGGCATGGCAAAATGTTCTGTTTTTAATAATAGGATTTTGCTTCATGCATCATTCTCTGTCAGCTACTTCTTGCTTAGAAATGGTTTCAACAGTCATCTATATTCATTTCTAAAATGTATGCCATTATGGTAAACTTTTCAGTACTGTTTTACAGAGGGGGCGAAAGCAACCCAGGAGGATCACCAGTTTTGCATATAGCTGTGCCCCAAATCCACGTATCATCAAAAATAATTATTCCAAAGTAAATTAACAGACAGCTGAGAATGCTGAAATTAAAGATCAGTCACAGCAGCCATGGATTCCTGTTCTGTTAACATTTACTAGAATACATGAATGGTACTAATAGAGCCTTGCCGAACCCAGAAACATTTCCAAATATTGAAAGACTTGGAAAACATCAGCAGATGAAGGATTCATTTTTCTGTATAAGACACATAATGGGTATCTGTGTCAGTTGTATTTATTTATATGACAGCCTATAAAAATGAAATCTCTATAACAACTTCAAGCAGGACGATCTATTTCAGAACACTCTGGAGGTACAACTGTGCAAGTCTGTGTGACATACATGTGAATGGGCGATGTCTTCTTTTAAGCCCGTTATTTCTTACCCCTGTTTTCAGGAGACAATCTGATCAGTTATTTCTTTTCCATTTTAACCTATCATCCTTTAGAAAATGGACATGAATTCGGACTGCATTTCAAGGGCTGTGAACATTTGAGGGGAATTATGCTCACTAACATGATATGAGAACTTTTAAATAACAAAGACAAGCAAAGCTTTAAATCTGGAATAGAAAATACAGATGTTAGGCACGTTTTATTCTATAACTGTGGGAGGGTTTGTGTACCTGCCAAGAGATGAATTATATTTGGACAGACCTGACAAAAGAGCTCACAAACACCGCATTCTAATCCCTAAAACAAAGCATGAGGCGTACAGTGTTATTCTTTCCAGTCAGATTTAACTGCAGACATCACTGGCATGCTCCAGCTATTGGAAACCAATGGGAATATTAATATTGCCTATTAAGCCAAATTTGATCTCCTAAATCCAGCCTGCCTGTTACCACAGCACTCCGATAAAGGTGTTCTGAGGTCAAGAGGATGTAATATCCAATAGAGCTTCATTATTCCAAAAAGAAGAAAAAAGGCAACAAAACAATCTGTATGGCAAGCGTCAGATCCGCTTATAGGAAACCCCAAAATTGAGTTTAAATGACATGTTTTTCAAAGTGAGAATAGATGCTGGAACTCGTTCTAAAACCTGGCTGGCTGAGCTTTGACAATCAATCACAGCAGCTAAGAATCAACTGGGGGGGGGGGGACAGGGAAGGTAACCAGACATGTAGAATAGTTACAAACCACTCTCTGCTTTGAAAAAATACAATGGAAGGGAAGGATCTTAGTGTTTTATCTGCAATTAAACATCTTCTAAATTATTTCCAGTGGACTTCTGCAAGAAAGACCATCTACACACTATAAAATATGGACTGCTAGAAAGCAGGATCAAAATATATTTGACAAAAAGCTACCTTATCAATACTAATATACTGGGTCTTCCCAATTTGATGCTCTCCAGATGTGGAAGGTGTCGATTACATATTGGCCAGCACATCTTAAAGTCCCTGGATGCATTCCTACTATACCCACAACCTCCATTTGGTGTGAACAAACATCACCACTTGAATCACTGGGAAGAATTAATTTGTCAGGAGGAAACAGAAATGCTTCTTGAACAAAAAGTTGCTGTGGAAATCACAGGAGAACTGCAGTTATTTTCATTAGATAAGATCCGGTCTTATTTATGAAACAACCCTAATAAAAAACAGTGTATCATGAAGTAAGAGAGACACACAAATTGTCATTTCCATATATTAAAACAAAATCTATGACAACCACTTCTGAATGAAAAATCAAGTAGTTTTAGCCCTGCCAGTGTGTTTTTGCTGTTGCTCGTTTTAGATGAGGGAAATTATGCTTAGTTAGTAATTCCTGTTCTATTTTTGTTTTCAGACAGAGACTAGTCTAACGTGTGCCAGAGATGAGAATGGGACATCTTGCCACAGCCAACTTGCTGCAGCAAACTCACTGGCGCCAACATGACACAGCCAACTCACCACAGCCAACTTGCAGCAGGTGAATTCACCACGGCCAACTCACTGTAAGACAACTCATTGTGGGACAATTTAACAATTCTATTTATAATTATTTAAAATAAATAAAAAATATTTTAAAGTTTGCCATTCACATTTTATTCTGTCCCTCCTTTTGTATCCTTTAATTATTCTATTCCGCCATTTCTTTGATATTAGTGTAACTCTTATCCCGCAGCGAGTTGTCCTGTAGCGAGTTGGGTGTGGTCATGGCGAGCTGGCTCTGGTGAATTGTCATAGACCAGGTGGGTCTTCTTTAGGAAGAAGCAAGGAAAAAAAGATTCATATAGGTGAGAAAGACCACTATGGGACACCTGAGAGTCCAAAGCAAGCTCAGTGTTCTCAGAACAACCTAAAACTAGTAAAATTTTGCTTGTTTCTTGATTCTCCTCCCCTCTTGTGAAACCCACATCTCTATACCTTCTTAGTCCCACTTTCCTTTGTGAAGCCTTTTTTTTTCCCATTGAAAAGCACAAAATTCTCTACTAAACCAATATGGACTTTTTCCTTGGTTGGCCATGATCTAAAGAATTATCATTATTTAAGCAATGATCAAAGCTGCTTTTGATTTTTCCACTAACTTTTAAATAAGTCACTCCCACTGTTAATCCCACAGATCCTGATACTGAGATAGAATCTTAATCTTAAGGGTATAATTGTTTATAAAGACTTCAGTTTTAAACCAAACCACTGGAATAATAATCTCATCCAACAAATCATTTTGTTTTCTTTTTTTTCTTTTTCCATCCTGTTGATGTTCTCGCCAAAACAATCTTCAGATATATCCAAGGGAATGATGTAGACTTCCTCATACATTGCTGGTGTAACATACAAACCAAACTCTTATTTCAATGTAAATTAGTCATCCATGATATAAATGGACCATACCTTCTCTTCTTCCTTTTCTTACAAAGTACTATAAATACTCTTTTCTGCAACTTCACTGTTTTAGCTGTCATTATTGTCCACTGTCTCACATAAAAACAAAAACAAGAATTCTATTAAAAATCAAGCGCTTAACATAAATATTAAAATAATAGAAAGGACAAAATATAACTCTATATCGAACTTCATAACTACCGTAGCACCTATTACCATAAACAAAAGAAATCTGATTTGACAGAAAATTAAGTATGGCTAGTCAAGAGGTTGGTTAGAGAGCCCTAAAATATCATCATTTAAATCACTCGTCGTTTTGTGTATTTTTTTGTTTATGGTTGACAATCTTATTAAAATTCATTTCACTAATCAGTTCATTCTATATCACTATGAATACCAAAGAACCCTTTAAAAAAGCCTTCTAGGGAAGGAGTTTAGGATTTTACCAAAAAAAAAAAGGAAAATGGCCACCAGTTAAGTTCTCCTCTGGCTTTCCTGTAATGAAGGCTGTCCTACCATGACCCCCTCCTCCTTAATCCCACCAGTCCATCAAAGAATAAAATAATGTACAAGTCCTTTTTTTTCAGTTTTCCAGGATGAGTTTGACAAAAGAAGCCACATCTGTTTCTTTGGATTCATGAAAGGTAAAGAAGGTGTGTTGCTAAAAAAAGAAAAGAAAAGAAAGCGATGAGTGGAAGGTGACAAAAGTCCCCAATTTAAAAAATCCATATTTTTAATTTGTTTGTTTGTATCCTGCCTTTATTATTTTTTACAAATAACTCAAAGCAGCGAACATATACAACACACTTCCCCCTCCTATGTTGGGCTGAGATAAAGTGACTGGCCCTAAGTCACCCAGCTGGCTTTCGTGGTTAAGGCAGGATTTGAACTCAGTCTCTCACTTTCTAGCCTGGAGCCACAAGCATCACACCAAACTAACTTAAATGGCGAGGTAGACACTTCCTGAGTGCCACGACAGAACCTTATTCCTCCCCTCATGATCAGTTTTCAGGCTTCCCAGACTTTTTTTTTTTTTTACTCTTCAGCCTGGTGCTTAGTCTTGCATTAGTTGCCCCAGTGCACAACTATGGGCTATTGTTTCCTGAGGGCACAAACACACAACTGCTTCTCTACTGCCCTTAACCTATTGAGATTACAACCTCCACCCACTGTTTCCTGCTCCATATCAAAAGTAGCATTTCCTGACTCCTGCTGTTTCAGGCAATGTTGTTCACTTTGCCTCCTATGCTTCATTTCATTATAGGCGAAGTCCTCCACTCTAATTGGATGCTGACCGCTGTTACTACTGCCCTTGTAGGTATTTTTTTTTCTTTTGTGTGATTTCCAGGACCAATGAAACACTGGAATTAATACAGCAACAACTCAAACAGGTTCACTGGCAAAATAAAGGCTGTGCTGTTTGTTTTCTTAAATGCAAGCTCATGTCTCTCTTTTAAAGAATACTGAACCGTAATGAAGTCACCGGAAAGTCTTGATAAGCTACCAAAAAAACCCCCAAAATTAAATACCTCAGTATACATATTGAAAACTGTGGCAATAATAAAAAAGCAGACCTCGTATTTTCCATGATTGTGCGTGTCCAGGCACATTTGCGTGTGTGAGCATATGTGCAGTTGTGTATTTCAATTTATAGACAAGCAGAAGCAAAAATGACTTGGATTAGAAACCAACTGATTCATCCATTCCTGATACTAATTCATAAAACACTGCATCAAATAACTCTAACATTTGAAGGGGAGTCCTTCCTTCCTTCCTTCCTTCCTCCCTCCCTCCTTTCCCTTCCCTTCCCCTCTCCTCCATTCCTTCCTCATTCACTGATTTCAAAACTGTGCCTGGATGTTCTGCATTCAGATGAATATACCTGAGCAAACAACAAGGGAGAGCTAGGTGCAAGCGATAACATGGTCCTACAGGCAACAACTCTATAACTGACGTTTCTTTTGGCTATGTAAAGGATAAAGGCAGAGAACAAAAATATTAGGATGTCACTATTCTTCTGACCTCCTCATGTTTATTCAAATGCAAGAATGAAAATCTGTGTTACACTTGGATTCAACAAGATAAACTCACCATTAGCTCAGGATATGTAGGTCTTTCTGTGGAATTTTTCTTCAAGCTTTGAATAAAAAAGAAAGATACACATTATTTTAGGTTCAGTATATAAGCAACACCCAAAAGCCCATCTAACCAACAAAAGCTACAGATAAGGTCTCTCTAAAGCTGGATAGAGATTATGCTCAAAACCAAACTAATAAGTCAGTAACAATATAAATAAATACCCACTAAAAATCCTCAAATGAAGTAGGGGGATTAAAAGGCTTCACTATTTTAATATAGAACAGTGGCCCCCAACCTTTTGGGCAACAGGGACCGGTTCTGTGGAAAGAGGTTTTTCAGTGGACTGAAAGGGGCATGGTTTCGTGTGCTGCCTTTATACACTTCGCTTGCTTTATAGCCCGGTTTCTGGCATTCCATGGACCGGTGCCGGTCCATGAACCGGAGGGGCTGGGGACCCCGATATAGAATTCTGTGCTATAAACATTTAAAAAAAGCAATCATACTATTTTTCACAAATTCAATAGCACAACAAATATAAGTTCTTCTGCATACCCCCAACAATAATTCTGAAGCATCAGCAGCATATATGCAGAAAGCACATCGCATAAGCATAGGAGTAAGGCAGAATTATATGACTGAAATTAAATTCCACCTGTAAAATCTAATTTGTGTCTGGCTGAAGTACAAGTAAATGGAATAAATGCAGCTTCTTTAAGCAGAAATGGTCTGTACTTTTGAGTTTACAAATTCAAGAGTAAGACAGAATAACATTAATATAATTTATAATCTCATATAAAAAAGGTTAAAGTAAACCTTTACTTTAAAGTATCCACTGATGGCACATCATATCCGTACAAATTAAATGTGATTTACCATGTTCATTTGATTTTGGAAGACCTCTTGGTCATTTTTGTTCCTTTAAAAAAAACTCTTAGAATGTAGTTCCCAGGTAACATTATACAAGCTACTCATACATTTTAATTTTGTTTACTGAGTTGGGAAAAGGAAAAAAGAAACTTTTTAAAAGTTCCTTCAAAATTCTCAGTGGCAAATGCTTTAAACTTCTGAAAATTAAATTGATTTTAAAATAGGAATTCAATTCTGCTTACAAAACTGGCATTTCAATAGAGGTCAATATAATCCACAGCATGGCAAAATTTTAAAGAAGTGGTTTCTATTTATTTTTTTAATGGCTGCTTTCATGATAATATCATCCTTATGTTTTTATGCTATAAATAATATAATGTGGAAATTTCAAATAAAGCTTGGCTTCTGCTTTATGTACTTGGTGAATATTTTACTGTGTAGTTTTATGAGTTTTCAAGTTTAACCAAAAATAACTTTAAATGTAAAAGAGAAATTATGCCAGTTATTTGGTGCTTTAACAAACAAATGTCAAACATTTTTTAAAAAACCAAAAATGCTGCTATTCAAGTCAGCTACATGTAGACAACTAATGCTGAAAAAATTTCTGCCTTGTTTAAAATTTTCAATATGGCAACCAGAATCTCACTTTCTTAATTTACTGGTTAAATATTTTAGAGTTGGGTTTGGGTTTTTTTTTACCTCCAAAAATTTAAATTCAGAAAATAAGGAAATCCCTTATATTTTATGTCATACATTCTGGTTTTAAATGGATACCCTTACCTTACTGGATACCTTCCATACCAAGACTTCAAAATTAAAAAAATGATACATTTATATGGTGCAGGACTTATACAAAGTGAATTAGCTTACCACCACCACCCTCATCCCCATCCAATAATAGCTAAGACCAGTTTTGCTAAATCAAAAGGGAAGTTCTGTAAGAAACGAAGCTGAAGGAGAAATCAGCAGTCCCCAGGTTAGAAAATGATATACTAACATAGTTTGAATACCTCTCAAGGCCATCATTGTAGCCACATACCCAATGAGCCCTGGTGGCACAGTGGTTAAAGTGCAATATTGCAGGCTAATTCTGCCCACAACCTGGAGTTTGATCTTGATAAGGTCTAGAATTTGAACTCAATATATATTAAAGGCTTTGACTTTTGTGACTGCAATATATGGCTTCAATCTGTCCTGCAATAACAAGACTATTAACTTCTCAAACTGTGCCTATGATCCTTCTTAGAATAAGCCAAGGCCTAAATAAGGGATTAAGTATCTGAAGAACTAACATTCAAATTCTAGGTAAAAACAACAATTCCAGTGCTATTTAATACCTGCTAATATTTGTGAAGGTGAAAGAAAATGAACAATTTTAATATCTTGGTATCTTCTTTGTGTTTAATACTGTATCAGCCAAGTCAATATAAACAGTACCAAGAACTGAGAAACTGGTACCAGGGTGCTTTACATCTTACACAAAATGAACAGAATAGATTCTGGGTAAAACATCTATACATGTTACTTTACCATTCATGATGCAAGATTAGATGCAAGATTACTTACTCTAATAGAGACTCTACTCCCAAATTTTAAAAATGAAAACAAGAGTTACGTTTGACTCCATGCAAACCCAAAACTTAGAATAGATTGAAAAAATTTCAATTTCAGATAAACTGCAGCAGGATGGATTGCTCTAATTAACCTTGGCTGCAGTTCACAATTTTTTATTACGCTCCATCTCTTAATACAATAGGTTGACAACACCGTTATATGCTCAAAAGTAATTCTGAGTGCTTGTAAAACTCATTTGGATCTAACGACTGACCACTCTGCCTTTAAATCAGAGTAATCCTTTTGACTAGATCAACACTGTTTGTTCAATCCTTTCAGAAAAAGAATCTGTGATCACTGGTTCTTGGCAGTTTACAATTTCTTATCCATTGAAATAAGAAAACATGTCGCTGTGGTCTTAAGAACTACAATTGCTTTTAATGAAAAGATTGATGTGTGAATTAATCTCTTACACCTTACAACAGCCAGCTTCACCAAACTCAGGAAAGGACCACATTATTTCTTGCTATCATCTTTCATCTCTCTGTATGAAGTCCTCAGCCTATCTACTTCTATGTTCATCACAATATCCATACATTTTAAACACAGAACCAAACTTTTTAAAAAGTATTTTTACCATTTTTATGAATATTGACATTCATATGCTTCATTACTTAACATCAAGATAACTTTCAAATAAATTTAATGCCGGGGCTAAGGGGGAGGGAGAGAAAACAAAATTACATTAAACTACAGCAGATTTTATTTCCTCCGTTCCCTGGTAATATTCTATATTGCAAATTTTATCCTGTTCCGATTTCAAAAATGATTGTAATTATTTATCTAAGTTTCCTCATGAAATAAAATGTTAAAGTGGATCTCTAGTTTTTATGATACATAATCAATCAAGTTAGGAATAGCAATAGCCCTTACCACTTAGCACTTACTACCGTGTCACTGTACTTTACAGCCCTCTCTAAGCAGTTTACAGAATCAACATTATTGCCCCCAACAATCTGGGTCCTCATTTTACCCACCTCGGAAGGATGGAAGGCTGAGTCAGCCTGGAGCCTGATGAGATTTGATCTGCCAAATTGCAGGCAGACTGTAGGCAGCCGAAGTAGCCTGCAGTACTGCACTCTAACCACTGCGCCACCGCGGTTCCTAAGGACTAAACCTCTAGGTAGACAATAATATCATAGTTGGACTGAGGATCTGGCATGAAAAGTAGTTTATTGCATTGACCTAATTTTAAGAAAAGATTATACAAGTAGTTCTCGACCTACGACCACAATTATGCCCAAAATGTATGTTGCTAAGCAAGACATTTGTTAAGTGAATTTTGCCCAATTTTAGGACCTTTATAACCACAATTGTTAAGTGAATCAGAGCAGTTGTTAAGTTAGGAATATGCTTGTTATGTCAATCCGGCTTCCCCATTAACTTTGCTTGTCAGAAGGTCATGAAAGATAATCACACGATCCCGGAATGTTACAATCATCACAAACATGAATCAGTTGACAACCATCTAAATTTTGATCATGTGACCACAGAGAAGCTGCAATGGTCGTACATGTGAAAACAGTCATAAGTCACTTTTTTCAATGCCACTGTAACTTCGAACGGTCACTAAATAAACTGTTGTTAAGTCAAGGACTACCTGTACATATAATCAAGGAGTATATCCTTACAAAGTCACTTGATTGGCACGTTACTAATGTATGCTTTGATTTTGGAGTTGCAGTTGATTACAGTTGCAAAGACATCTAGCAATACTAAAAGGAAAGCTCATCTAGTCTTTTCTTTTCCCTCCACATCTTTCACAATTGATGCAGGTAATAAGGATCACTGTTTACTTGAATTCCTAGAGCAGTGGTGGTTAACCTTTTCTGCATTGAGTGCCAAAATGGGAGTGTGCGCATGCGCCAGAACCTGGAAGAGCAGCACGTGAGGGCCGGAAACTGGAAGCTTAGCTTCCTGGTGTGCACCTGTGCACCAACCACCTAGTCTTCCGATTCCTAACGTGCTTGCGCACGCAAAGACCACCTGGCCAGTGCGTGCATGCGCTCCAGGGAGCTGCTCTTCCAGTTTCCGGTGCACCTGCACATGCAAAGATCAGTTGGCCAGCGCGCATGCACGCACCAGAACCCAGGGGAGCAACAGGTGATGGCTGCTGTGCCCAGAGAGATGGCTCTGTGTGCCACTTCTGGAACGCATAGCATAGGTTCGCCATCATGGTCCTAGAGGATGATTTCCAGTTCCCATTCTATATTCATAACCTACCTACTAGAACCAGGGAGCAAAGTGGCATCACTTAATTATGCAGCTTCTCCTATCATTGATAACCATGACTGAAATGTGGCCCATATTTCTGCTGCAAGAACTTAGGCATAAATGTCCCAACACTCTATGAGGTGGAATCCTGACTGTGCAAGGTTCTAACTTCCAGGGCAGATTATATAAGCAGGTCTGCTTATAACAGGTATTCATGCCCAGCAATTGAGGATATCAGGGTAAGACTTCAAGAAAAGCCTTCATAATTTTAGCTCCTCAGTGAGTTTACAATTACATTTTCATGTGTATAATGGATAAAAAGACATGACTGCAGGCTATGCTTAGGATGGAAAATAAAGACAA